CCTCCCCCTCGTCTGTACGCGTGCGCGTGTCGATTCGTAAAACTCTTACTTTTTATTTGTGAAAAATCACCAAGGGGGAGGGGGAAGGGGGAAGAAAGATGCGTCCGTCGGTGTTTCGTCTCCTCGGCTTTCATGTAACGGAGTCGAAGGGATTTCTCTCTCTCTCTTTTTTTTTCTGTTTGTTTGTTTGTTCGCCTAATTATTCCCTCTTCTCCGAAAAAAAGGGGGGAAAATTGGCGACAGAGGCAAATTCAATCCCTTTCGTTTTTTTTTTTTTTTTTTTTTTTCCATTAATTTATCGATCGGTCGTTTCGAAGTTTACTTTCGAAGTTTTCCCCTCTTTTTTTTTTTTTTTTTTTTTTTTTCTCGATTAATTTTTCGATCGGGCGTTTCGAAGTTTACTTTTGAAGCTTTCGTCTCTTTTTTTTTTTTTTTTTTTTTTTACGAGGGATTCGTGGAATTTTTAAAATGTGAAAGCGAATGAAAAGTCGGGGAAAATTTTGGATGGAGGTTGGGGAGAGATGATGAAAAAAAGAAATGTGCTCGATTTATCGAGATATGAGGATCGTTGTATCTCGATCCATCCATCCATCTTCGCGTTGGCTTCGATGAGAGATAAATCGGAAGTTGGGGAGGGGTTGGAATGGTTGAGTGGCCATTGTCGCGTTGAGCTTTCGTCCCCCCAGCGGTTATCTCATCGATGCTTTCTCTCGGGGAAACCTGTGTTTCTCTTAAGGAAGAGGGAAGAGAGGTAAGATTATTGTAAAATTCGTTGAAAAGTTGAAAGGTATGCGTCTACCACGTGATCTGTAAAAAATAATAAATCGATGAAAATATTCTTATCTCGCGAACGGAGACGGGGGAAAATATAAATCTATAAAAAATTAGTTTAATCTAACGATATGTATGGTTGAATCGATTCTTCTCATCGATTAAGAATGTATATTCAATCGTTTATCGAATATCTCATTCTTCTTGCAAATAATCATTGATGATATTCGATAAAATAGTGTTAATAATATAGTAAATAAATGAAAAATACTAGATAGAAATTTAATCATTATTTTATTTTCCTCCTTTGAAAAAATTCCAATAAAAAATATTAAATATATATATTTAATCGTCTATCGAATCTCATTCTTCTAACAAATGATTATTGACGATATTCGATGAAACAGTGAAATAATAAATTAATAGAAAATACGAAATAAAAATTTAATTATTTTATTTTCCTTCTTTGAAAGAATTCCAATAAAAATTATCAAATATATATCCATCGAATATTATTTGAAAAAATTCCAATAAAAAATACTAAATAATATATATATCATATAGTATTAATATTATATTAATAATATTAATATATATATATTATATAAATATATATATTCAATCCATCGAGTTTTACTTTCTTCGTAAATGATTATCAATGACAAACAAAAAAAAAAAAAAAGACACCCTTTAACGGTTCATGGACGCACAGGGTTACTGTCGACAAGTGGTCATCCGGGGGAGGGGTGGGTCAAAGTCGGAGTTCCAGACGGGCATTCGTGAATACAGAGGGCCGAGTGTTGGAACGAATCCCACGAATGGAAAGGGTCGAGGTCAACGAGGAAGGGGGTAGCAAACCTGTGGGATGGATGGAGCCCACCGGAAGCTTTTTAACCGGTGGCTACACCCCCACGATCGGCCTCCCGTTTCCAGATTAATTTCATCATGAATGTTAGCCCAACACTTGAGATTCAACCGCAGCCAAACACCGTACCACGATACTCTATTAACAGTTTAAAGCGTATTACAGTTGCCCCTAGGTACGAACCTAACCTAACCTCGTGAAAAGTGTTTTCTATTATTTCCATTATGAAGTGTTTATGCATCGATCCTTTTATCTTTCGCTTTTTTTTTTTATCGAAATGCACATAATATCGTAATTCCTTTTTATTAGCAAGTCGAAGATATTCGATATATTTAAAAGTTTTATGAAAATGTCACTGTAAGCGTCTCAAAGGGTTAATAATAATCGAGATACTAATTATGATTATCACCAGACGATACTCTATTAACAATTTAAAATGTATTAAAGTTGCTCCTAGATACAAACTTAACCTCGTGAAAAGTTTTTCTACTTCCATTATGAAGTGGTTATTCATCTTGATCCTTTTATCTTTCACTTTTTTTTTCATCGAAAATTCCTTTCTCTTGGCAAGTCGAAAATATTCGTTGCATTTAAAAGTTTTATGAAAATGTCACTGTAAGCATTTCAAAGGATTAATAATAATCGAGATACTAATTACGATTATCACTAGACGATACTCTATTAACAGTTTAAAGCGTATTATAATTGCCCCTAGGTACTTAACCTAATCTTGTGAAAAGTGTTTTCTATTTCCATTATAAAGTGGTTATCCATCTTGATCCTTTTATCTTTCACTTTTTTTTTCATCGAAACACACATAATATCGTAATTCTTTTCTCTTGGCAAGTCGAAGATATTCGTTGTATTTTAAAAGTTTTATGAAAATGCCACTGTAAACGTCTCAAAGGGTTAATAATAATCGAGATACTAATTACGATTATCACCAGACGATACTCTATTAACAGTTTAAAGCGTATTAGAATTGCTCCTAGGTACGAACTTAACCTAACCTCGTGAAAAGTGTTTTCTATTTTCATTATGAAATGATTATCCATCATCTTGATCCTTTTATCTTTCACTTTTTTTTTCATCGAAACACACATAATATAATTCCTTTCTCTTGACAAGTCGAAAATATTCCTTATATTTAAAAGTTTTATGAAAATGTCACCGTAAGCGTTTCAAAGGATTAATAATAATCAAGATACTAATCACGATTATCACAAAACGAATAAAAATAAAAGTTGAAACTAATTTTAAATAAAATCTTCGAACAAAAAGCAAAAAAAAGAAATTTCAATCACAAAGGTAAGGAAAATTCGTAGCCGCGAATATAGAAACGAGGATATACGTCGATTACGCGATCGTTAATGTTTCGAAGTATAGGGGGCGCGTTACACCAGTTTTTGCGCGGTTGACAGAGGCAGCCAGCCTGCCAATTAGGCGTGTCTGAAAGGTCGTAGCATTGGTTAAGCTCGTTTCACGAAGACGAGGGCCTCGTTCTCGAGAGTTTAAAGAACTCTCTCTCTCTCTCTCTCTGTCTCTCTCTCTTTCTCTTTAGAAGTTGAACGAGGGACAGCAATCCTTTCTCCTCTCCCTTCCTCTATCTCTATCCTCCTTCGCCTTTTTTTCGGTGGAAATAAAACTGTTGTATCTACTAATAAAGGCGGAGTCTTACTTTTAAAAGCGCGTACTCCTCCCCCTCCCCCTCCTCCTTCCTTCTCCGCGCTCCTTCTCTCACCTTCGTTCTTGCGTTAAAATAGGAGGGATTAGTTCCTATGGTAGCGCAGGGGGGCTTAAGCATTGATGAGGTTTTTAAATGGGTTCCTCTCCTTTGACGATGGTAAGAAAGAGAGAGAGAGAAGAAGGGCGCGGATGGCCGAATGGAAGAGAAAGAGAAAGAGAAAGAGAGAGAGAGAGAGAGGGAGAGAGAATGGGACGATATTTACCGGGAGATTAAAAAATCGGGGGAAAAATTAAGTGTTACGGGGGCACGCCCCCGTCCAAGGATTTAATTCTACGTAATCCTCCGCTAAGATCGCCCGAACTGGTGCCCCCTCCCCCCTCCCTCCCTCTATATTCCTCAGACGGCTGCCCGTGATTTTCAACCCTCCTCTAGAGATACCTACGCTTCTCTTTTTTTCTCTTGCACTTTTCAGATTATACGCTTTATGAATGTTCTCGGTTGGAAACGCGTGAGAAA